CTGCTCATTTGCATTTCCCTCCCTTTGATTATGAGCAATCGTGGGTTATCCAGCAATTCATCAAAGCAGAAATTATTTTAAAATACCTCTCGCGGTGTTGCAGCCCCGGAGCTGCTGAGGGAGGGGGTGGGCACAGGGTCCCCGGCGTGCCCAGGGCGCGGCTCGGCCCGTGGGTGCCCGGGATGCGAATGAACCCAGGTTTTTCCTTCTGCGGGAGGATTTTTCCCTCCTGGCTGGTGGGATGTGTTCCCCCGTCCCTCCATCCCGCTGTCCCTCCCCAATCCAGCAGCGTCCTGGGGGGCCCTGGCTCCGTGCTGTTTGCTGCAGTCCTTAGGGAGCATCAGGATCCCGACCCGGAGAGGGTCAGCGTTCCTGGCACCCGTTCCTGGCACCGGCTCTGGCAGCACCATCTGCAGAGCTGGGAGCGTGGGGAGCAGTGTCTGTCTCTGGTGACTCAGCCCTTCTCCCGAGCTCTTTCCCTGTCGGGAAGCAGCAGGGCTGAGCTTGGGGACACATTAAATGTCCCCAGCCAGGCAGGGAGGGAACAGAGCTGGGAGCGTGGGGCATGGAATGGGATGTGCTGCTGGGAACATCTACATAATTTAACGTCTTAATTTTTTAAAACTCACCTATTTTGATGCCAAACTCCTTAAATCCGTGTGTGCAAACTACTCCTCTTTCACGGACAGAGGGAGGAAAGCTCTCCCTGTTGTTATTTTGCTTCCAGGATCTGTCAGGGGGGTATGAAAACCACACCTAAATCAGGGGAGAGAATGGATTATCCAGGCATGATCCAGCTGGAGGGGCTCCTGGAGCTCCAGGCTGAGGGCTGGGCCTCCCTGGGGTTGGTATTTGAAATTAAATTCCCCAAAATACCGGGGTGTGAATTAAATGTTGAGTTTCTGAGCAAAACCCGGAGGACCCACCCAGAGCAAAGGGGGAGCACGGGGCAGGACGAGGGAGGGGGGATAGCAAGGACAGGGAAGGATTTACTGGGGGAGAGGTGGGACTGGGGCATCTCCTATTGGAGTCTGGGGGGGCTGGAGAGCCAAAGAAGGGCCCTGCAGCCACATTCCCTGCCTGTGTCCCCCCAGGAGTACGACATGTACGGCTGGTGGGTGGGAGAGCTCAACGACGAGGTGGGGATCGTGCCGAGGGATTTCCTGGAGGCTGCCTACGAGCTGGATGAGCGGTGAGGAGGGACAGTGGCACTCCAGGTGAGAGGGGGCACCTGGGGCGTGTGGGGAGTGGGGTCTGGGGGTGGGTGTGTTGTGGAGTTGGTTCCACCCCGGGGGTGTCCCAGCATCCCTGGTTTTGGCTCCATCTCCTGGTCTCCCGTTTTACCTGGGAGAGCAGGAAGCACAGTGGCTGTTCCTGGGCAGTGCCACCCCGCCCAGTGTCCCTCAGATTCCATGGGAGGGATGTGCTAAAGCCACAGCAGCCACCAGGGCTGTCACTGTGCCACCAGCACTGACACCAAGTGCCGCGCACGGAGAGTTTCTCTCCCAAAACCCCACAGTGGAGCTGTTCCTTTGGGGAAACTGAGGCACGGGGCAGGGCTGGCAAGGAGGGGTCTGGAGTGCTGCCACCTCCCTGTTCACCTGGAGATCTCCCCCCTCAATCTCCCTGTCCCTCTGTGCCCGTGTCAGTCCCTCTCGCTGTCCCCTTCCCCACCATCACCTGTGTCTCTCCCCTCCCCAAATCCAGGTGCTCCCCTCTCCCTGGCCGTGCAGAGACACCAGTGACAGCGGCTCCCACCAGCAGCTTCCCCTGCCGTGAGTGTCCCTGGCATGAAGAGACCCCCCCGTGCCCAGCAGTGCCCTCCTGGGGGTGCCCTGCAGGGTGGGGTGGGCCTGGCACCCCCAATAAAGCCAAAAAGCCCCGATTTTCCTCTCCATGTTTGGCTGCTCCAGACTTCGTGGAGCCAGAGTTGGGGGTGGGAAGTGCCCCTTGGCTCCACCCTCCACACCCCCTGCCCAGCTCTGAGCACCCCCAGATCCCCCCCTGTCCCAGCTGAGCCCAACAAATCCTCTTCCTGCTCCTGCTGCTCCTCCCGCGCTTGGCTGAGGGGCCGCTAGATGGTGGTAGGGACCTGCTCAGCGCAGCCTTCCCGGGGAGGTGCCCAAACCCCCTGAGCCGCCCCCCAGAGCCCCTCCTGGCACGAGCATCGCCCGAGGGGCAGCTCCAGGGCACAGCTGGGCAGGTGTTTGAAGTGGGGGGGGGGGGTATCCCATGGGATGCCAAGGATGTGGCCAAGCCCATCCCGGCGCTCGCTGCCTCGTCACGTGGCTTTGCTCCCAGCGGGGTTTTGGGGTGTGGGAGCCTGATCCCAAATCCACTGCCTCATCTGGGGTTCCAGAGACCTCCATGCTCTGCTGGGAAGATGGAAGAGGAGAGGGAGAGGTGGGAACAGGAGGCTTTGGCTGCAGTTGGAGCAGGAGCCCCCTGGCACGGTGTGTCCCTGGGGGGGAAGGACAGACTGGAAGGGGCCGCCTTCCCAAGGGATGAGGATGCTCTGGCTGGACAGCCTGGCCCCATTCTAGGCTGCTTCTCTGGCAGGAGCTGGGGAGGGGGGAGCCACCCCAATCCCTGGCACGAGGGGCTGACCCACCCCACGTGTGGCAGAGGGGACAGTCACCCCCCCTCAAAGAGCCACTGCCCCCCAGGTGGGACCCCCCCAGCCCAGGGGCTGCCCCCACCCCCCCTCCAGCCTGTGCCGCCTCTGAGTCACCGTTTTCCCGACAGCTCCGCAAAAGCCAATCACCAGCACTAAAAATAATCCCTGAAAGGCGGCCAGGAGCAGGGCTGCGGCCCCGGGGGGATGGAAACAGGCAGGAGAAGGGCTGGAAGAGGGACTGGAGAGGGGCTGGAGCCCTCACTGCAGCAGCCCCACGGGATGCCCTTCCCAAACCCGCCTTGGGAAGGGCGGCCCTGGGGCCGGAGGGCTCCTGGCGAGACATCCAGGGGAAGGTGTTGGCAGTGCCAGGACACGCTCCTGGAGCAAACCAGGGGGTGGGAGGGAGCTGGGGCAGGGCTGGGCTGTGGCTGAGGCTGTGCCCAGGCGAGGAGTGGGGTCGGTGGGCACAGGGAGGGGTCGGTGGGCACAGCTGGGCTCACAGCTGCGCCATTTGGAGCCGCACGCCCGATGAATGTGGATGAATATGCATGAGGGGGGGGCAGCCAATGGCAGCGGTGCTGCTGCGCCCCAGCAGCTGCCAGCCTTGGCTGTGAACTTCTCCTGACATTTCGGATGTGCCTCCCAGGGGTTTGCCAGCCCTCCCTCCCTCCCCCCCCCAGCTTTGGTGCATCCAAAAACCACACCAACCCCCCCGCCCAAAAAAAAACTCAGGGGAGACCCTCATCCCTGCCCCCCGCAGTGACCCCAGGGACCTCCCCGCAGCTGGTGCTGGGGTGGGTGAGGTGCCATCCTCGCCCCCTGTTTTCCCTAAATCCCCGTCTCTGCAGTTCTCCCGGCCCGGCCCCCGCCCACACAGCACAAGCAGGCACTGCCGGGGCTCTCCTGCTTCAGTTTTTATTTCAAGTCCGAGCACGTCGGCCCTGCCTGAACCTGGGGGGCTGGGGGGGAGGAGATGGGGCAGGACCACACGGGGAGGGGCAGCAGGAGCAGCCACAGCCAAACCTGCTCCTTCTTACCCTGGTAAATCCGAGGCCCCCCCAGGAACCCACCTGGAAGGACACCCCGTCCCAGGGCAGGGGTGACAAACTGCCCCCCCCTTTGTGCTCCCCCCCGACTCATTCCCTGCCCAGGGGGAAGCTCAGCTCCTGCTGTCCCAGCTGCAGCCGCCAACCTGCAGGGAAAGCTGTGCCAGGAGGCCCCAGGTGGGGATGTGGGATCTGCACCCCATGTGTGGGCTCTGGGTCTGTGCAGCTGAGCCCCCTCTCCCCTCCCCAGGAGCTGCAGAGGGAGGGGAACACAGGGGGGCTAAACTGGAGAAGAGGGGCTGGCCCTGGATCCACCAAGGAAAGCCTTTTCCCATCAGGCAGCATATCCCACCCTGCCCTGGGATGTGCCAGGAACAGGGAGGTGGCACTGCCACCCCACCCAGCCCTGCTGTTGCTCCAGCCAGAGGGCAAAGGCCGCAGGAACAGCAAGCACAGGTTCCACCACCCACGAGATCCCTCCTCCAAGAGGAGAGCGATGCAAGCGCTGCCTGGGACACCAGGGACAGTCAGGAGTCAGCGGGGACAGAGCCCGGGACAAAGCCGTGTTCCCAGAGCAGCCCCGTCCCCCCAGCCCGGCCATCCCCCTGCTTCCACAGTGCCCCCTCTCCCAGCGAGGGAGCAGGTCCTGGGAAGGCAGGTGGCGTCCCCAGGGCTGTCACTGCGTGTCCTGCCCCGCTCCCGGGGGCTCCTCGGGGCTGTCCGAGTGCGCGTCGTCCACGCCGAAGTCGCTCCAGTACGGGAGGCTCTCCGGGCAGCCCTGGGGGCTTCCCAGCCCGGCACAGCTGGGAACGGGGATCAGCTCAGAGGGGAGAAGGGATCAGGAGGGGAGAGTCAGGGCCTGAGGTGCCCCTGTGTCTCCAGATCTCCTTGGCACAACCCCTCCCTGGAGCTGGGGCTGCCCTTGGGATGCTCCCCCTTTCCTACCTGGCTCTCGGGTCCCGCCCGGGCAGCGCTGAGGGCCGACCCTCCTCCTCCTGCACCCAGCCACAGTTGGACATGGCATAGTGCAGGATGGCCTCTGTCACTGTCTGCGTGCCCTGGCCCTGCACGCAGGCCTCGATGTCGGGCACGGAGAGCTGGCTCTGCAGGAAGAGGTGCAGGCGGCTGTCCGAGAGCAGCACCACGTTCTGCACCACCCTGGGCACGGAGAGAGGAGGGGGAGTCACCCTTCAGAGCACCACAGACAGCCCTGCTGCCACCTCCCAGGCAGGACTGTCCCCTCCCTGCACTCACTTCTCCAGGAACTGCTGCAATCCCTGTCTCCGCTTCTCGATGAACTCATCCGTGCTGCCCACGAAGAAGGTGGATTTTCCAGGCAGCTCTGGGACAGGCCTGGGGGGACAGGGGCTCAGGTCACCTCAGTGCCAGCACAGGGGACACTGGCACAGCACCTGCCAGGACCCTGCATCCCTCCAGGGAGTCCAGGCATCCCCTGCTCTGAGGGGGGTTCCATCCACACCTGCTCTGAGCTCCTGTGGCTCACCCAGGGCAGGGGGAAAGGTTCTCCCCCAGCCCTCCCCGAGCAGCAGGAGGAGGGAGAGGAGGGTCAAGGAGCACTTACACCAGGCCAGCATTCTTCTGGAGCTGCCTCCTCAGCCACACGAACTCACGGTACCGGCGCCGCACGCATGAGGTCTTGGCAGTGAAGGCCTTGCTGTTGGTCTGCCAAAAAAAAGAACAGTTCCGTGGGAATTGTCCAGGGGATCGAGGGGCAGGGAGGAAGGGGAGGCACTCGGGGATCCATCCCCTCCGTGCCAGGTCTCAAACCCACAGAAGGCAGGTTGGGCAGCTGAGGGTTCTCCCGTGGGAGCCCCTTCCCATCCCCACGGGCTGGATAATCCCCCTGCTGAGCCCAAACCCAGCCCTGCAGCTCCAGCCCCTGCCCCTCGGCCCCAACTCACGTGCAGGAAGATCTTGTAATCCACATAGGAATTCCAGGAGCCTTCGTTCTGCACGCGGGGGTCCTGCACTCGCACCGTGGTCACTTCCTGGGGGGCACGAGGGGTGTCCCTGCTCAGCCCCCCGGCATTCCAGGGGCAGGGATCCCACCCCACATCCTCCAGCATCCCTCTCCCACACAGCTCCAGACACTCCCAGCCCTGGCAGCAGCTGCCCCTCAGCTCTGCCCCACGGACCCTTCAGCTTGCCCAGACCGCCCCGTGCTGCCCAGTTCCCACCAGGAATGCACACGTGGGGAAGGGTCTTACTTCCTCTCGGTTCTCCAACATCCTAGAGGAGCCAGAGCCCAGCGGGAAACATCTGGGGAAAGAAAAGGGATTTAGGAGAATCAGCACAGTGGGGTGTTCCAGGGACTCTGCACCCCCCCAGCACCACCCACCCACACTCAGCTGCCTGATCCATGGAAAAAAGAGGATGTGTCCAAATCCAGCAACCCACAGGGAAGGGAGAATCCAGCACCTGCTCCCGAGGCAACTGGGGTTCCCTCTGGGATGTGCTGGAGGGCGTGGGGTGACCAGGACTGGGACCTGCAGCACCTCTATCCTCAGGCCACTCTGCCCAGAGTTCCTCTGGGATCCTGCAGCCCTTGGGAACAGCAGAATCCCTGGATCCCAGAGCGAAGCAGAGCCCAGCCCAGTGGGCTGTGACCTCCGAGGAGCTGCTCGTGCTGCTCTCCCACAGCACATCCCTGCTCCCGGGGCAGGAATCGGGGTTCCTGGGAGAGCCTTTGCCCCGGGGGGAACTCCTGTTAGCCAGGAAGAGCCCAGCTCCCGGTTTGCTCCTGCAGAGCCCACACTGGGAGCACAGGAGGGAGCCAGGGTGGGAAAACCCGGCCTGCTCCCCACACGGGCAGGTCTGCACCCACAGCCGGGGGAGCCGGTTTGGCTGGGGAGGAGAATTCCCTGCTTTTATCCCAGTTCCCTTCTCCCAAAGGCCTCTCCTGCAGCAGGGAGCTGGAGCAGGAGCTCAGCTGGGAACACCATAAATCCACACCAGGGAGGAACCTTTCCCAAAATCCAGCCTCTTGACACAGTTCCAGCCATTCCCTGGGCTCCTGTCACTGATCCCAGAGATCCTCCTGGATCCTGCTCCATTATTATTCTCCAACAGCAGGAACACAGTGCCAGGGTTGGAATAGGGGCGGGACAGCAGGATAAACCTCCCCCCCCATCCCACCAATCCACGATCCCGGCAGTGAAATCCCTCTGGACACACACACAGGCCAGGAACACTCGTCAGGGGGAGCTGGAAGACCGAGCGTGTCCCGTGTCCTGGTTTCACCTCCGGCCCTGGGATCGCTTGCAGGAAGGTTTTTGGGATGAATCGACAGGGATCTCACCCAGCACATCCCAAGCTTCCGAGGAGCCAGCCCTCCCTCCTGGAGTGATCCCCATTCCTGGAGTTCTGCCTTTCAGGCCGTGGGACCGGCTCAGCAGCACAGCTGGGACCGTTCTGTTCCCAAATCCCAGATCTGCGGGATCACAGCCCCACAAGTGCTGGGATGACTCCTGTGGAATCATCCCAAGCCCCCTCCGTTGCTTCCAGAGCTCCTGCTCTGCCCCAGCAGCTTAAGAAAGGCAGGAGGGAGGCTCGGGAATTGCCCAGTGGAGCAGCAGAGGGTGGCCAGGAGCAGGAATTTCATCTCCCAAGGTGCTCCCAAGAGCAGAGAGCCCAGGAGCTCGGGTCCCTCATCCTGAGGAACACGTAATCTCTTTTGGGCTTTGCTGGGAGTTAATTGATCCTGATCATCAACTTCCAGCCCCCGGGGGGAGCAGCTCGGGATCAGCCCCAAGCAGTTCCACCAAATCCTCTTGCAGGGACGGTGGTGAAAGCCTCGGCTGAAGAGGCTCTGGGATTCCTGGATTGATTTCCCTGCAATTCCACCTTTCCCTGCAGCCTCTCCCCTGTCCGGGATCGGGGCTGGAGGAGCCGCAAATCCCAGGTGGAATTTGACCTCCCCCTGGCCCCATTCCCACGGCTGTTGAAAAGGGAAAGTGTTACTTGTTATCTCTTCTCCACCTGGCTGGCACATCCCTAAGTGCCTCTGGAATGCAGGAATGCTCCTTCCCACCCCCACAGCCCGGGGGGGCCCAGCTCAGCTCCCAGCTCCAGCCTGGCCTCGGGGAAAACCCTCACAGGGAGGATCCACGGCAGGAAAACCGGGAATTAATCCCATTTATTCCTGCTTTTCCTTGTCGTGCTCGGACGCAGACACTGGGGTGATTTTTGGAGGCTGTTTTCCCTGCCAGGGAAGGAAAGGGTTCCCTCTCAACCACGGCCCTTCCCCCAAGCTCAGGGAAAACCCTCACACAGCGGGAAAAATCGGGATTAATCCCATTTATTCCTGCCACGCCCGGGCACCTGTAAAGCAGATCTGTGGAACAGCCGCCTGTAGCGCACCGGGGGGGGCATTTTCAGAGGCTGTTTCCAGTTCCAGGGCAGGAAAAGCCTCCCCCATCCCCACGGGTATCCCAAAATTCGGGCCCCCGGAGGGCGGAGGATGCACCGGGGCCGGGCCGGGCCGGGCCTCGAGAGGCCGCGGATGGGGGCGAGGCCCAACGCCGGCTCCGGCTCCTCACCGTGGGGCTGCGGGGGACCCCAAAGGTCGCCCCCCGAGGGACCCCCGAGGGACCCACCAGGACGCGCCCGCCCCGGGACCCCCCCACAAAGCCCCCTCACCTCGCACAGGACGCGGCCCCTTTAAGCGGCGGCGGCGGCGCGCGCCCTTATAGCGCGGGAAGGAGAGGAGACTTCCGGTGCGGGGCATGGCGAGAGTTGTAGTTCCCGCCGCCTCCGGTTGTAGTTCGGGAGCCGCGGCCCGGGGAGAAAGGGACGGGAGGGGAGGGGACGGCCTCGGGCCGTGCCAGGGGACGATCAGGTTGGACAGCAGGAGGAGTTCCTCTATGGAAGGGGATATTAAACATTGGAAGGGCTGCCCAGGGAGTGGCGCAGCCCCCACCCCCGGGGGTGCTCAGAAAGGAGCGCGGATGTGGCACTTGGGGACATCGATCGGTAGTGCTGGGCTAACGGTCGCACCCGAGGACCAACGGAGGGCTTTTCCGACCTCAATAATCCGTTCAATCAGATTACTGATCACCCAGCCGGGCATCACCCACCCCGAGCTGTGACTACAACTCCCGCCATGCCCCGCGGGGTCTCCGCCGTCCCGGTCCCCCCTCAGGACCACAAGTCCCGGCGCTCCCCGCGCGGGGCGCGGCGCATGCGCGGTGCGCGCGGCGGGCAGCGGCGCTGGCCGGGCTCTTTTGTTCAGGGCGCGGACGGAGCGCGGCCAGGCCCGGCCCCCCCCAGCGGCCCCCCCGACCCCCAGCGACCCCCCCCGACCCCCGAGCGGCCCCCCCGACCCCCAGCGGCCCTCCGACCCTCAGCACACACCGGCGGCGGGGCTGTGCAAGGTCCGCGGGCAGCGCGGGGCAGCGCGGGGGGGGGG